TAAGCTGCAGCACTGCTGGAGGAGCTCAGGTGTGGCTCTGCTTCCCTTCCCAGCTTCTTGGCCTCCAGGATCCCAGCTCGCTTGCCAAGCTTTGGGGAGAGGGTAGGAAATGCCTGTCCCAGGAGAGCTGCCCCCAGACCCGAGGGCAGAGGGTCCCATCCCTGCGGTGCACGGCAGCGAGGGCAACACCTTCCCTGGGGACTCTGCTGGCCTGGAGGACATCATTGGTGGGGAAGCAGAAGCAGATGGTGCACCCAGCTTTGCCCTGTGCAGGCTGGTTTTGAAAGACTCTGAGAAAGCAGCCAGTGCTTAGGAGAGCAAAAAGGATGAGATTTACTGGGACTGCTGCTTGGCCGAGGAGGTGACGTCCTGCCCCACCTGCCCAAGTCACTGGATGCGCAGCCCCTCCGAGGACACAGAGCTGCTGACCCACTGCTCAGAGCACTGATCTCTATAACCAGGAACGTGGTCAGGAGTGAAGAGCCCAGGTAAGTGAAGAGTAAATGTTTTCAGGTGTAACCCTAGAAGCAAGTTTGACAGGTAAGTGGGAAAGAGCGAGGTTTGAAAAATGATGCTCCTTGTCCTTCCTCTGTACTGACTTACTTTCTCCCTCCTGGGAGAAGGAGGTTTTTACTTCCAAAACACATGGCCATCGCCAGCATTGACAAAACTTTTGGTCCTGTGCCTTTACCAGATGTTGTGGCCATTGCTGTGCAAAGGGCATCCCAAGCTGCACCTGCCGCCTCGGCTGCCTGGAAAGCTCTGCTGACATGTGAGGGTCGAGTGGCCGGAGGTGTGAGTCCAGGTTTTCAGACAGCCCAGTGACCTTACCCCAGCAGGATCACTCTTGCCCAATTTTAGGCACCTGGCCTGAGACACTCAGGGCTGGACCTGAGTGGCTGGACCGTGGCAGGGCTGGACCACGCACCGGTTCCCTGAGGCCACTGGCTGTTTGGCAGCTCTTCTTCCATCCCTTTCCAGGTTTCAGCCTGGAAGGTGGATTTGAATCCCTCCCTACAGGTGAAAGCCTGGATGAGGTGGCTCTTTTATATTCCTCTTCCAGCACTTTTAAAAATCCCAGATGGCAGGATTGCATTCCTACAGGCACATTGCCTGTCTTCACCTACTAACAGATGTTTTATTTCCTGCTGCTGGCAGAGACCTTTCTCAGGCTTTGAGAGAAGGTGGCAAAGCTGGACAATAGGGGAGCACGAGTTCTGGTGCTGCTAAAAAGGTGCAGTGGTGCAGTCATCCAAGTTGGATGGTGACCTGGTCCTTTCTGTGGGAGAGGACTCTGCTCCAGCTCCAGGCATCCAACACCTACCACAGGGCTCAGAGTTTCTTCTCCTTGGTCTTCTGACCCCAGAGAAGATGGGTCAGTGATGGCTCTCTGGTCTGTTCACAGAATGAACTTATTCAGACTCACCTGGAGTATGACTGGAAGCGGAATACTCTCGAGAAAGCAATTCTCTTACTACAGAATAGCACACGATAAGGCAGAACAGAGCTGGGTTTGCTCCCAGCTTGCTGGTGGTGCCACAGATGATCTGTCGCCCTGTAAAATGATGACCGTCACAATTCCACCCAATTTCTATCAGGTGGCTCCTGGGGGGCATCAACAGCAAACCACAGGCAGAGGTCCTAACAACATTGCTTGTTATCTTCAGCAAAGCGTGAGCCACTGTGGAAGTTACAAGGACCGAAATAGTCACAGTGGCTGCCTAAAGTGAGCAGCTTTGTAACAAACTGCCTTGAAAAACGGCCTCAGGCCCTTGTTTCAAAGCTACTGCAGCCACAACTGCCTCTATGCTGTTGAGTTTTTCATTTCCAAAGAGGCGTCAGACTTGCCAGTGTTTGCAGGGCAGATGCCCTGGGGCAGAGAGGGGCCAAGGGCAGCAGGACACAACTTGAAGGACAGTAGAACAGGTAATGTATGTCCCATAGATGTCTGTCTCAGATGTGAAAAGCCTCATGGGAGGGTTTAGGCTGCTGCTGGTGCTTAAAAGTAGGGTAGTTTGAGCTGTGTCCCATTACAGTAGCTGGAGGGATGCGGGGTTGGGAGAGCAGAACCTGCCCTGCCCATCGCAGTGTGCCATACCCACTGCAAAGTGCCTCCAACATGCAGCATCCTGGCCTAAAACATGAGAATCTTGTTTGTTTTGTGGCTGGGAGTGCTGTGAATTCGGGAAGAGCTCAGGGGTGAATGCTCTTTGCAGCCTTTACATAAGGCTGAAGGACAAACTGTCTGGAATCACAGAGCCCAATATCTGCTTGCACTTATTTTTGCAAAGCTGCACCTGAGGCCACGTGCTCCTTTATAAACAGCTCTGTGCTATCACCAAGTGGAAAACAAAAATGTCCAGAAAACGGCGTGTGAACCAGGCTAGAGCCCACGGGCTGCCCTTGCTCTGAGATAAGATCATCACTTCGGGTTTGCAATGTTACACTGGCTGCTATGACAGCAAGCACAACAGGCCAGGAACCTCCTGATTTTTTTTTTTTGATTTGCTGAAACTGGAACTTTTCAGAGGTCCTGATAAAACTTCCCTTAAGAACACGTTTCAAACCCCGGAAGGACTTTCTTGTCAGACCTAGAGAGAAGAAGAAACAGCCAGATAAAAAGGGCATGAACTCGCAGTGTGAGCAACAGAGACCAAACTCCCTGCTCATCTTGCTTGAGACAAGATACATGAACCCACTGTCCCGCTGAGTCCCCCGAGACTGGGGTCAGGCTGGGAGCTAACTCTACTTTATCTTCCAGTGAAAAATTTCAGGTCTTATCTTGACAGGGAATGGGAAAACGCCGGCGATTACAAGATGATGTCGGAGCTGACAGCACTGTTTCTTGCCTGGCTTTAGTGACAGGTTGTGATGGGGTGTTAGCAGCTCACAGGATGATCAAAGGGAGAGGGGAGGGATTCCCCAGACCAGGAGGGATGTTAAGTCTCGCTCCAACACCACCCTAGAGCAGAGGGCAAGAAAGACCAAGGGGTTTCTGCCTCCCCCCTTTGCCTTTGTCCTGGTCTTTCTTCAAAATGATCAACTGTAGCAGTCAGCCGATAATGATTTAGTATGTGCAAAGCCTGAGCTTTATCCGTGTCCCTACCCTGGCTCCTTTTAAGTCCCCCATAGAAACCTCATGAGCAGCAATATATAAACTGGCTGAGTTTGTACCCACACGAGGTAATGCGGCTGAGCCTCATAAATTCCACCAGTTTATACATATCAGCCCAGTTTCCTCAGCAAAGGAAAAGCTACCAGGTGCCGGCGGTGATGAAGAGAAGGGCTTGTGCTGGCTGGGGTCAAGCTTGAGAAGCGCTTTGCACCCCAAATGTCAGCAGAGATGGGGGGTCAAGCATGAACACTGCGGCATGTTTGGGATGTTGAACCAGCCTCTCCTGTTTTCAGGCAGGAGCGATTTCTCATCAAAATAGCGGCCAAGGCAGCCCTGCAAAACAGCTCGAGTGCCCCTAGGCAGCACCAGAGCGTGTCTCATCACACCAGGACACACAGCACCTCGCTCTTGTCTGGCTCTGCACGGACTGCTTGCACATCCTGGTCGGGGGTCCTGTCTCATATCTGTCTCCTGTCGTCATACGTGGTCGTGGGTTGGAGGTAACATGGGGTGCTGTGCAGAGCACCCCGAGCCCCAGGTCATGTCCCGAAGTGCTGAGAGGCTGGTGTGGGGTGGCCCAGCATGAAACTGGAATCAGGCCTCGCGTCTGCATGTGCTCACAAAATCCCCTGTTTGGAAGAAACCTCTGCAGCACTGGCTGGCAGGTCCTCGTCCTCTGGACAACGTGAGGAGCTGGTCCTGCACAACCTGTCCCCATGGTGAGCCCCAGGCACCACAGCCCATGGCTAGTGCTAAAGCAGCAATTGCTTCTTTCTTCCCTTTTCTTGCTGAAGAGATCTGCTTGGTCAAGATGACAGTGCCTGCAATCGGACCACCCACCCAACCATCGCATCTCTGCCCCCCAACCAAAGACAAGGAGAGATTTCCTCAACAGTAAGACTGGAGTTCGATGGTTTTAATGCTGACCTGTCTTTTAGGGGGAGGTGGAGTTTGGTAGGAGATTTCTGGAGGTATAGAAGTGAAGTCCATCTCACCTGTCTTGGACACACACCTCCTTCAGCAGTGGGGCAGCAAAGCGCTGGAGGTGTTTGTCCCCTTCCACTGACAGCAGAGAGCCTCAGGGTCTGTCTTAGACTCATAAGGACGCTTAGAAAAGAAAATCCAAATTAAATAAAGGTTTATGGATTAAACTCCTCAGTAGGAGACTCTTACAAGGAATTCAGTTTACTTTCATTCATTTAAGGGGAACTAAACTGAGTCATGGTCATTTTAATTCTGCTAAAAATGGTACAAAGAAGTTTAATGTGGCTTATCTTAATCCACTTGAAAAATCAATTCAGATTAATTTTGTTGAGTGTCTTGCATAGTTTGCCTTTGATTTTTCACATGTTAATTACTTTTATTGTGCGTGGCTGAAGCCTAGCACGACTGTAGTTTCCATCAGTCACAGAAAATGCTCCTGCAGTCATGTGCAGACTTTAAATACAAAGCTCATATGTTGGGTAATCAGGACAGAGAATGCTCCTGGATGGGTCC